AAAAAAAAAAAAAAAAAAAGTGTTATGACTCCAATAATTCTACGACTTTCCATTTACAATGGATTTTACATGGAAGGTACTTGGAGATGTTTGATGGTTTGTTTTTCTAATATTTTTTAAGAATTAAAGAGCTGGGTAGAAGCAGGGAGGAAGGAAATAACATCTGTACTTAACTTGAGTACTGGGGATGCAAACAAGATAGTAGAGGGGAGGGAGCAGTGGCTGTTGAAGAGCACTGTTCCTCAACACTACCCTTATCTTTCATTCTAGGATATGGCGCTTAATTGAATTTACAAGGAAAAATATTCAATGCCCCTTCACACCAACTGACTTAGAGCTATAATGATCTTGAGATTCTTATGAAATAGAAAATGGTTGTTAAAGATACTGAATTTTTACAAGAATCCTAATACAGATTTCCATCCAGTTAAATGTGGGAGAAGTAGGTCTGACAAGAAGCTGATTCACTAAGCCTTGTCCTGTTTTTTTCAATAATTGTTCTGTTGTTGTCAAATGAATTTAATTTCATTTTTAAACGCCATGTGATTTTTATACTGCAATGGAATAAAGGTACGTAGGAGCTTTCTCCCACCCAGATCCTACAACTGTAATGCAGTTTTTTAAAAACAAAATATGTAGTGGTTTTTGCCTGTGCTCTTAAGAATTCTGTATTGTGTTCGGTGGCATTGCCCATTCCATAGTTACTTCCTCCTTCCCCTTTCTCTGCCACAAATCCATGATCTGCAAATTTCCAGGGCTGCTTTCTGGCTTTTATGTCCTTTTTAGTTCTTGTGCTAGTGCCCCTGCTCAGGCCTTTGCCTAGAGGTTGCAATTAATGTGCTGTGACAAGGTGCAATGCATACTCCCACTGTTTTCTGGTAACAGAGAGCTTTTAATTCTTTGTGTATCAGTATGTGCAAACACAGAATAACCTACCTGTTGGTTTTTGGAAGCCTTACTTCATACACCAGTTCCTGCCTCTGTGGTATTTTATTCTGCATAGTGTTTTGCCAAAATCGTGTTGTGTAAAGAGGTTTGCATATTTCACTTCCCACATATACCAAAAACCTCGAGAACATGACAGCACGTGTAGTGGTGGTGGGGTGTGTGTGTGCGCACACGCGCCAGGACCTTGCTGAAGAGTGTAGCTGCACACAGCAAGTCTGCTTGCTTACACATGAAACAGTATGAATGAAAAACTTGCCAAACTCATTAGCAACACACAATACATTGGTTTGCCTTATCTGTTAATTTTCAAATACATGAAAAGTACTCTTTACAGTGGGCTTAATTTTTAAGAGATGTTACCAGAGCACCTGTAAACATGTCTTAAGACAGTTGACTGCATACTCGAATTTGGTGTGGTAACGCTGGCCAAGACTTGCCCTAAGTGCAATATTAGATATTTTTAATGTACTGTTTTCTACTTGAATACAGTCTATGTAACACGTTAAATATTTTATGTATTTGAAAATGAGATTGTTTGGGATCAGATTTTCTTCTAATAAAATGCTGGTTTAAGAAAAGAGAAAAAACAAACACGTGCTTCCTTTTCCTACTGTTTTATGATATGCCCAAAGGGCAATAGTTCAAGATCTTGGAAAACCATCTACTAGCAGCAGGTTCTGAAAGCTGCATTCAAAAGTAGCTTTCTCTGCCTTCAGTGTAGAACAGATGGGTCACACTTCCTAAGCATATGACAGACACCAGGAAAGCCGCCAAATGATCTAAAGCTTCCGATTCCAAAGTCTGCAACTTGTTGATACGAGCAATGCCAGGTGGCTTCTTTCTCCATTCCCTTCCTTTCAGATAAACTTCCTACTTCAGTTTCCCCAGGCTGCAAAGTTCTCTTCTGTGCTTTATCTTCCAAGGAAGTGGCAGGATTTATGGACAAGGCTGGCAGATCCCCATATAATCCCCATTTGTATTTCAGGACTGTGATTCACAAATGACCAGTAAGTTTGCATGCAAAAATTCAACTTCTGACATACATACTCACTACATATAATACCCCAAATGGCCCCACTACTCATTGAGGGCTATTATGACAGCCCAAAGACAAAGGGATCTTTTAAATAGCTATTTGGATTGCTCTGGTAAAGGGTGTTCCTGGCAAGGAGACATAGCAGGAAAGGAGCTGAGAGTACACCAATGTTTTCAGGTGTACTGGCCTGCTCTCCACTTTGCCTCAGATCAGTCTGTATGCATCATGGTAATATCAAAGTATAGGTGCTTTTTGCAGCTCTAGCTCTTGCCCACTTTCTTACATTATTCATCCTGCTCTTTAAACCTTGGGCTGCTTGAGAATAAATTTGGTTCAAAGCCTTTTGGAGATGAGCCCCTTCCCCTGGAATGGGGGATCAATCAAAATGAGCTCAGCAGGAACTTTTCCTTGCAATTTTGGCATCTTCCCATGTAAAACATGGATTCATGTTGAAGAAGGAATGTTCAAATATAAGGTTTAAAAAATAGGGAGTCTTAGCATGTCTGATAACTGTTCCGTGTGTCTGCTCAATTTCATTTTTCGTAGAAGCTGAATTGTTGTTTAGCACTTGTTTCACTTCCACTTACCACAAGATAAAGTAGATAGCTGAATGTTACCACAGATCATCTGATAAACCTCCTCTCCCCCTACATCATGTCATACCATTTATCTATGCATAGGATTAATACAAGGTAATTTAGAAAAAGGATTCTCAACTAGGTTGCCACAGCACCCAAAGGTGCCACAAGATCCTTTTCAAGGTGCTGCACAATATTCGTTGTATTAGATGTGCAAACACCTACATGATTCACAAGATAAACCCAGAGATTTCACATCGGAATTCTTACCATCTAAAGCAGGCTGCCCTGTTTTGGATGTTCTGAGTTCTTTGCAGGAGAAGTGCTCTGTCACTTTTCTGCGGCTAGCAAGGAAAAGTTCAGAGGGGGCATTTTCCAAGGCAGGGCCTTGAATCTACAAATATTAAGAACCACTGTTTTAGAAATTTAAGGACAAACAACTGCTACAATGCAGAGGGCTAGGAAAGGCACCTTTATTCATGTATTTCTTTGACACATTTTATTCTCAAAACTTAATTTATCCACAGCAAAAAGTTTAAGCATTTCTATCTCCAGTGGATGCATAGCTCCTGTTATGATCATGGAATGTAGTGGGCCGCCTAGTTCCACTGTGGACAGCTCCTGTAATGTGCCTGAAGCAATTTTCTGATCTGTGGCACCCACCCTTGCTAGGCCAACACAGATGGTATCTTCAGTAATTTCTGCAACAAAGAAAATAAAGTTTCCATCCTAGTAAAGAATTCCTCTATCATTTATTTTCTTGTGAACATATATTAATTAATGCTAAGCCACATGATTTACTGAGCAATATATGCACACTGAAAGCTAAAGAACATAGTGATTCAAACATCTGTGGAATTAGTCAATCTCCTGAGAAGGGATCCTGATTTTCTCTGATAAAAAAAATCTCCAATTTTCGGATTAAAAGAAGTAACCCCCAATCCACGTTTCCATGATTAAAATGAACCGCTAATATATGTATTTCATGTAAAAAGACATATATTCATTTTAATCATATAAATAAAATACATATATTAGCGGTTCATTTTAATCACAGAAACGTGGATTGGGGGTTACTTCTTTTAATCCAAAAATTGGGGTTTTGTTGTTTGTTTGTTGTTTTATCAGAGAAGACTAGGATCCCTGCTCCTGAGCACCTACTTTTAATTAAAACTCTAAATAAAATCAGGAGGTTCACTGCAAACTGTGATGGTAGTGCATTCTCTGAGACTACAGTAGTACTACAATGAAGCAACATGCTAACAATAAGATGGGGTGCAGCACATACAAGTAGCTTTTACCACTCCACCAACAAAAAGCATGGAAAGATAAACTGAATATAAGGGGATTTCTTCCTTTGAAACTACCACTCAGGAACTGTCAACACATGCGAACATAAGGATGTAAGAAGTGGCACGCTGGGTCAGACTAGCAGTCCATCTAGCCCAGTAGCCTGTCTCTAACAATGGCAGGAGTGGGTGCTAGAGGGAGAGGACTGAACTGGACAGATCTAAAACAGGTGGGCAAAATGGTGGATCCAGCTAGCAGCAGGACTCCATTTCCCAGCAGCCCCTGCCTGCACTGCAACTGGTTTCCATGGAGACCCCAACAGCAGCAGCACTATGACAGCATGGGGTCAGGGTTTCCATAGACAATGGCCCCAGCAGCGCTGGCAGGGCAAGCAGCTGGATGGGGAGCTCCTCTGTGGCTGGGATCTTGCAGTGGTGAGCGTTGTCTGGATCAGGGCAGAGCCACAAGCCACTGCCTGCATGCCCCAGCACTGCTGGGGCTGGTCTCCACAGAAACCCTGGCTCTGTGCTGTCACTGTGCCACTACTGCTGTGGTCTCTATGAAAATCAACCTCAGCAACACGGGCAGGGGCTGCTGGGAAATGGAGTCCGCTGCAGGCCTGACGTGGCCCACAGACCAGACGTGGCCCACCCCTGATCTAGAGTGATCTGTTACCTATTCAATACCCTCTCTGGCATCTACCATTATTGGTTTAGAGAAACCAGAGGCAGGAAACACTTGCAGCTGCTCACAGAGGATTGGAGACTATCTGTGTACTTTGCTTTACTTTAATTCCGGTGTTAGAAGTATAAATTATTAGAGAATAAAGTCAGGTGATATGCCTTAAAATGGAATTCTGTAAGTAAAAAAATCAAACCTAGTTTTAGCGGATTCATTCATGACAATTTGTTTAGCCTTGCTGCTGTTGAAAGGGAAATTCAATACCCAACTCTATTTCTGAGGTATCAAAATCCCAGCCTGGCTGCACAAACTGCAGATAGGACTCCAAGGCTATGTTCTGCTTGGTAACACCAACACAGGCTCAGGCAAACTGCCTGAAATCAGCAGGGTTAATTTGGATTCATACCAGTGCAAATTAAAATCATGTTGTCAGAACAGGTAATGAAAAAAGCAATACTATATAAATAGAGATCTCTACCTTGCTGTCAGTTATGGGGCCAAAGTGCCTGAGCTGGTTTGTTTGCAGTTGCCTAATATGTTATTAGCAAGATAGAGTTAGGATATTTTGAAGGCTGATGTTTCCCTCTGGCCATGCTCTAAAGCCCGGGGTAAACAAAAAACCTTCCATTCCAAGTTTTCAAACAGCTTCATCCTAAAGGTCCCAAATGAATGGTAACTATGGGATTCCCAGACTAAGGCCTTGGCTACATCTCCAGGAGCCACTAACTCCCATTTATCAGTGCTCACTGAACTGCAGTACAGTTTGGCCTTTGCCAAATGCATCTTGTGATTAGACTGTAGGGTTGGCTAGTTCTGCTGTTGGTCAAGCAATGTTCAGATTAATAGGTGCTGGGCAGCATTGTACAGGGTGTCTATTCAGGATGGAATCTGGAAAGGAGGGAGCCTGGAGTGCCTGTGGATAACAACAACTGCATTATAAGTACCTGGTTCTTCTCCTTGGAGCCTCCGGTTTTGAACAATAGCTAGAAGCTGTTCTGCAGCTTGGTTCACACTCATGTATCGTGGAGGTTCATAAATCTTTTTTCCCCTGATGGAAAAGAAAACAATTTTAACAGCTGCCTTGCCAAACACCATTAAACAACAAAATCCAAGGCTACTGCCATTCCTTCATTCCATCATCCCTTACACAGCAACACACGTAACATTTTAGAGGGGTGACACCCATGCAACAGCTAACACAACCTAAATAGTGTCTGGGTCTCATTCTGGATTTCAACAACAGAAAACAATCCCTGATGTTCTCTACATGCTTGTGTGGCAGCAGGGCGTAGTCTGGCTGAGAGTTTGCTTTTAAGACAGAAGCAAGACTTATGCAATTACTTGAAAAGAGGAACTAAAATATTCCACTTCAAAGGCAAGTTCTACTGTTTCCCTATTAAACATCACACAGACAAAAATCACAGACTAGAAACCTATTTGCTTATTCCCCAACAAAATGCTTTTCAGCTAGTTTGCCAGCTCTGGATTCATTCAAACAAATACTACAATGAAGCTCCAAAACAAACAAACCTCAGTTGTTCTGTCACACTTTATGAATGTGAATGTAGGCCAGAGTCACAGCATGTCTAGAAATGATAGTTTACAGTTCCCACTGTCACAATGTATTGGTTTATTGGGTGATGGTTAAGACGGTGCAGATCTCTAATTCAACCAAGTGAACATAGTTCAATAAACAATATATTAAAAATGCTTGTATTAAAGGAAAAAGGAATAGCTTTGTATACTATATATGTATTTTCAAAATGGCAACTCACTTCATCAGATTCTCCAGATTTTGCTCCTTTACTTTAATGTCTGTGGATAAAACAGTAACATTAGATACAGGCACAGATGTAGACTTCATCTTAACTGAAGACTTCTCAGTTGTCTAAAATGGTAACAGGTGGGTAGTTTAAATCACCAGGTCCTTTAAATATTTTCATATGCAGGTATTCTAGGTGTTGTGAGATTTACAAATTTGGATTACTGGCAAAGGTTATGTAGCTGTATTGTAGATTTCATACATTATTACCCAGGAATAATAATGGTTATAAGGAAAAGAGGAGAAATTGTTAAAGGTAGGTATTGTGTCAGTTTCAAGGACTGTAGAAAAGATAGCTGTGACACAAAAGTACACTTGTGTACAAGAATAACTGATTAACTTACAATGGGAGAGTAAGTGCAGAAATGATAAACTTCAAAATACTAATCTTACAAGCTTCTGCAAAGCAGATGCATTACACACACTGTGTACAGATTCTAGGTCCAGTTGGACCTTAATGGTCCAAAGGTAAAACAGCAGGACTGAACTATAGTAATCTTTCTTACCATCCTAAAAGGACCACGCTCAGATTAGCGGTTAAGTTCAATCAAATCCTGGAAACCAATTTTTTTTTTAGTACATAGCAACTAAAATGTTATGAAACTTTTTGGTTCTACAACCTCTTTCTAACAGCTTTCATATGCTACACTATGCAGCAATGAAAATTATGTACAGAACAGAAGAATGTTTTGCTTGTACTATCACGCACTGATTTGGCTGTATTCAAATGAATGTGTGCGCTAATCTGTAAACAAGAGATGGGCGACTTACAACAATCAGCTTTGATACATATTTAAAGTCTGAATAACACTGCCATACAAGTTTCAATCTCAACAAAAGATGACATTATTTGGGTAATGGCATCAGAAGCAAGATAATTGAGGAAAGTGTGTGTGTGTGTGTGTGTGTGTGTGTGTGTGTGTGTGTGTGTGTGTGTGTGTGTGTGTGTGTGTGTGTGTGTGTGCGCGCGCGCAGATCTTGTTTTAAAATACAAAGTTGTTTGAATTACAGGCAAAGCGTTTATCATAAATTGATTACAAACCAACAATTTTACACTTCTAGATTTAAAAAGTTTAGCACCATTTCTGTAATTTGCTTTCACTCACGTGTAAAATATATTCACTTAAATCTGAAATTTAATTGGCTGATCAAAATGAAGACCATAACTGGCACTGAAGAAACAAATAATTTTAAATGTGGTAATTTTCAAATTGAGATAAAATTAGACTCAGGTATCACAACTGTCTTGAATCCCCCACAGAGCTTTCAGATTCACAATTCAATTTTCCTGTGTGTTAAGCAGTTTGGCTTTCCTTTTGCTGTGTTAAGTAAACACAAAAAGGGAAATGACTTTACAAAAAAGCTAACAAGCATACAGCAAATAAGCTATTTTTTCTCAGTTTTGAAATTTAATTCTGTGTAATGTAATAATAAAAGCAATTTATATCCCATCTGAAAGTGAAGTTTATCTCTCTTTTAAAAAAGTTACCAACCTCTCATTTTAATGAACTCCAAAAAGAAGCAACTTCCATTGCTGTATATTGATGCTAATGTGTTTAAATGGATTCCAGAGCAGGGTTCTTCCAACTACCACAGAATACTGTGCATGATTTGCTTAAAATATTATTGATTTGTTATACGCCAACAACTCCCTGGTGAGACTAAAAGATGCAGGGAAATTCTTTCAGAGACTATTTGAGCCCTTATATCAGGAGTCCTGACATAAGGACCCAATCCTGCATGCTCTCTAGTGCAAGGACCCAATCCTGCACGCTCTCTAGTGCACATGGACTGTTCTATTAACTTCAGCAGGGCTAGTCATGTAAGCAAAGTTAGGCATAAATCTATGTACTTGCAGTAAAGATTTACAAACCTTGGATCATAGGAGGCAGTAGACAAAGATCAAAATATTGGAGGAGTTGATGCTAAATTAAATCAATTTAAAATCTTTGCTTTCCAGTGCTATTTTACAAAAGGTGAGCCTGTTACATTGGAAAAATTATGCTAGAAAACAATGGAATTTTGACTATTTACAGGACTTGTCTCCTCCAAGGTCAAGTTCATTAAAATCTAGAATAAAAAACACAATCACATGAGACTTGCTAATTACTGCAAGATGATTTGCATCCCATGGTGGAGATATTTTTCTTTAATCCCATGCTACATCTAGCAACATACAGAAATCTGCTCCTTGTTGAATTCTGTAGAAGTCTAGTTCCTTTGGACCTCCTTGATTCCCCTATACTAATTCCTGAATCTGGGTGCATACAATGTGGCAGCAACATCACAACAAATGTCACTTACCAAGTAAGCATAGTGTGTGCATTCCATTCTGCCTGTTCTTTCCGATCTTGTCAAAAAAGCTTTCTGGTTTCCATGCATCTGTCCAGAAAACTACAGACACTGTTTCTCCAAAATTGTACAACTACAAAAAATGCAACCAAACAGGAGAAATTAAATGAAGACAAAGAAGTTCCTATAATATTAAACTGAATAAAGGAAAGTTTCACAAAATAAAGATAGCAAGAAAAGTCCTGATGCTGGTTAAGGACGCAACTTTTACAGCAGACATCATTGCCTTGTATAAGAGTTCTCCTTCTATACAAAAGGGTTGCTGCATATGCAAGAAGGAATACATGAAAACAACTTTTTACAAAGGTATCTTGTCCTCCCCTTTCCACACAGTAACTCTCTGCATTCCTTGGAATGCTTTCATGCTTGCCTATGTCTTCATTTTTTATTTTTATCAAAGCCTGGAATCAGTGACCTCCTCTCTCTAATACAGAACAGGCAGCTTGCTAGCTCCTTCACCCTCAAACAGTGATGTATGTTATC